AAGCCATTCTGGTCCATCAGGACTTGGTTCCTGTGTGCATTGTGAGAGCAGTTCAGCAGGGAAGGAAAGCTTCATGATGTGGTTGGTGAGATCTGCTGGAACTCAACCAAACTGAGCTGATGTGGACCATCAGAGGTTCTGCTGGTTCTTAATGGGATCAGCAGGAACATTAAATCTTTACAACTACTTAGATCACCTGGTTCACTGCTCACATCCAGATATCACTTCATGGACCTTTACCTTCTGATTGTCTCTGTGAGGACAGATACAATGTGAGATCACTGCTGGATGAATATTTCCTGACTTCCTTATTGTTCCTGGTTCCTCCACAGAGTGGACCAGCAGAGCTCAGAGGTTCCAGGGGTCCATCTGCCCAGCAGCATCAAACACAGCTGGACTCCATATTTTTGGTCTGTATATGAACAACAAATACTTTTCCATGAGTTGTGTTCAAAGTCTCCTTCATGCTGCACTTTGTAGACCAGAAGACTGTCAGTCTGTCCAACATCCATCTGGTGTTTGGCTCCATGATTTCTCTCTGATGTTTCCTTCATCTATTATTCTGTTCCAGCTGCTGGAGGACAACATTGTCATTTTTGTGAAGAAAGAACTGAAGAGGATCCAGAAGATTCTGAGTCCAGATTACCCAGAATATTCAGAGAGTCAGAGAGATGATGAGGTGTTGGAAGGTGATGATGAAGAGCAGAGGAGGAGCAGCAGAGAGGCAGTGATGGAGATCACACTGAACTTCCTGAGGAGGATGAAGCAGGAAAAGCTGGCTGACCATCTGCAGAGCAGTAAGAGGATTTCTTCTAATATTTGAAATGATAGATAAATTACACATTTACTGAAGTAATGTAATAAAATTCAAAACATAATTTTCTTTCACTTCTTATTTATTATTCTGTTATTTTAGGACATTTTGCTCCAGTTTGTGAACAACAACTTAAATCTGTTCTGAAGAAGAAGTTCCAGTCTGTGTTTGAGGGAATTGCTAAAGCAGGAAGTCCAACCCTTCTGAAGCAGATCTACACAGAGCTCTACATCACAGAAGGAGGGACTGGAGAGGTCAATGATGAACATGAGGTCAGACAGATTGAAACAGCATCCAGGAAACCACACAAACCAGAAACCACAATCAGACAAGAAGACATCTTTAAAGTCCCACCTGGAAGAGATCAACCAATCAGAACAGTGATGACAAAGGGAGTGGCTGGCATTGGGAAAACAGTCCTAACACAGAAGTTCACTCTGGACTGGGCTGAAGACAAAGCCCACCAGAACATCCAGTTCATATTTCCATTCACCTTCAGAGAGCTGAATGCTGAAAGAGAAAAAGTTCAGCTTGGTGGAACTTGTTCATCACTTCTTTAGTGAAACCAAAGAAATATGCAGCTTTAAACACTTCCAGGTTCTGTTCATCTTTGATGGCTTGGATGAGAGTCGACTTCCACTGGACTTCCACAACAAGGAGATCCTGACTGATGCTACAGAGTCCACCTCAGTGGATGTTCTGCTGACAAACCTCATCAGGGGAAACTGCTTCCCTCTGCTCTCCTCTGGATAACCACACGACCTGCAGCAGCCAATCAGATTCCTCCTCAGTGTGTTGGCATGGTGACAGAGGTCAGAGGGTTCAATGACCCACAGAAGGAGGAATACTTCAGGAAGAGATTCAGAGACAAGAAACAGGCCAGCAGGATCATCTCCCACATGAAGACATCACGAAGCCTCCACATCATGTGCCACATCCCAGTCTTCTGCTGGATCACTGCTACAGTTCTGGAGAATGTGTTGGAGACCAGAGAGGGAGGAGAGCTGCCCAGAAACCTGACTGAGATGTACATCCACTTCCTGGTGGTTCAGACCAAAGTGAAGAAGGTCAAGTATGATGGAGGAGCTGAAACAGATCCACACTGGAGTCCAGAGAGCAGGAAGATGATCAAGTCTCTGGGAAAACTGGCTTTTGATCAGCTGCAGAAAGGAACCTGATCTTCTATGAATCAGACCTGACAGAGTGTGGCATCGATATCAGAGCAGCCTCAGTGTACTCTGGAGTGTTCACACAGATCTTTAAAGAGGAGAGAGGTCTGTACCAGGAGAAGGTGTTCTGCTTCGTTCATCTGAGTGTTCAGGAGTTTCTGGCTGCTCTTCATGTTCATCTGACCTTCATCAAGTCTGGTGTCAACTTGATGGAAGAAACACAAAGATCTAAGAAATTCGCATTGCTTAATGAATCTGACCTGAAATCTCTCCATCAAGAGCTGTTAACCAGGCCTTACAGAGTCCAATGGACACCTGGACTTGTTCCTCCGTTTCCTCTTGGGACTTTCACTGCAGACCAATCAGAGACTCCTACAAGGTCTACTGACAAAGACAGGAAGTAGCTCACAGACCAATCAGGAAACAGTTCAGTATATCAAGGAGAAGATTAATGAGAATGTGTCTGCAGAGAAAAGCTCAATCTGTTCCACTGTCTGAATGAACTGAATGATCGTTCTCTAGTGGAGGACATCCAAGAGTCTCTGAGTTCAGGAAGTCTCTCCATAGACAAACTGTCTCCTGCTCAGTGGTCAGCTCTGGGTTTCATCTTAGTGTCATCAGGAAAAGATCTGGATGTGTTGACCTGAAGAAATACTCTGCTTCAGAGGAGGTTCTTCTGAGGCTGCTGCCAGTGGTTAAAGCCTCCAACAAAGCTCTGTAAGGACACAGAATGTTAATGCATTTATTTTTGATCAAGTGAAAACATTTAATGATGTGCTTAGTATTGATTCATGTTGCTTTAATTTATTTATTGATGCATTGCCTCCCAGATGTTGCCCAAAGGGATACATTGGGAATAAGTCTATTAATATGTAACATTATCAACAAAACAACCCCATTATCATTATACATTATTAAAGACGCAAACCTCAGATTTCTGCTAAAACTGAGACTGGATGAATTTAGTTTTATTGTGGAATTCAAAAGTTTTGTTGCCAGCCTACTTGTTCTCATTCCAGATCAGTCCTTCAAAGATTGTGACCCAACCATTGACCAAATCAATTCACAACAAAATGCAACATAAAGATATGCAACAATAGATAGTTCCTTCAAACTTTCTATATATATATATATAAACCACCCTTGAAGCCAACTGCAAACCACTTGCACAAGTGTCCATCAAATGTGGCATATACCAAGGAGATGCTCTGTCCCCGCTACTGTTCTGCATAGGCCTGAACCCCCTCAGCCAAATTATCAACAAGACTGGCTACGGATACCGACTCAAAAATGGGGCCAACATCAGTCACCTCCTCTACATGGATGACATCAAGCTGTATGCCAAGAGTGAGCGAGACATCGACTCACTGATCCACACTACCAGGATCTACAGCACTGACATTGGGATGTCATTCGGACAAGAGAAGTGTGGTCGGCTGATCACAAAGAGGGGGAAGGTGATCCGCACAGAAGTCTCACTCCCACAAGGAACAATAGCAGACATAGAGAACAGCTACAAGTACCTAGGTATACCACAAGCAAATGGCAACCTCGATGAGGCCACAAGGAAAGGAGCCACAGCTAAATACCTCCAACGAATATGGCAAGTACTGAGAAGCCAGCTCAATGGCAAGAACAAAATCCGTGCGATAAACAGCTATGCCCTGCCAGTAATCAGATACCCTGCTGGAATAATCAGCTGGCCAAAGGAGATAAAAGCCACAGATATTAAGACTAGAAAGCTACTAACCATGCATGGAGGGTTCCATCCCAAATCCAGCACCCTGAGACTGTACACGAGCCGCAAGGACGGAGGCAGAGGACTAGTGAGTGTGAGAACCACTGTCCAGGACAAAACAACTAAGATCCATAAATACATCAGGGACAAAGCCTCAACAGATAATGTGCTCAGCGAATGTCTCAGACAACAGGGAACGGAGGTTGAGGTACCAGAGATACCATCATGGGAGGACAAGCCCCTACATGGGATGTACCACCAGCAAATAACCCAAGTGGCTGATATCAGTAAATCCTACCAATGGCTGGAAAAAGCTGGACTCAAGGACAGCACAGAGGCCCTCATCCTGGCCGCCCAGGAACAGGCCCTAAACACCAGAGCAGGTATCTGATTCCTGGACAGTGGTTCTCACACTCACTAGTCCTCTGCCTCCGTCCTTGCGGCTCGTGTACAGTCTCAGGGTGCTGGATTTGGGATGGAACCCTCCATGCATGGTTAGTAGCTTTCTAGTCTTAATATCTGTGGCTTTTATCTCCTCCTTTGGCCAGCTGATTATTCCAGCAGGGTATCTGATTACTGGCAGGGCATAGCTGTTTATCGCACGGATTTTGTTCTTGCCATTGAGCTGGCTTCTCAGTACTTGCCATATTCGTTGGAGGTATTTAGCTGTGGCTCCTTTCCTTGTGGCCTCATCGAGGTTGCCATTTGCTTGTGGTATACCTAGGTACTTGTAGCTGTTCTCTATGTCTGCTATTGTTCCTTGTGGGAGTGAGACTCCTTCTGTGCGGATCACCTTCCCCCCTTTGTGATCAGCCGACCACACTTCTCTTGTCCGAATGACATCCCAATGTCAGTGCTGTAGATCCTGGTAGTGTGGATCAGTGAGTCGATGTCTCGCTCACTCTTGGCATACAGCTTGATGTCATCCATGTAGAGTAGGTGACTGATGTTGGCCCCATTTTTGAGTCGGTATCCGTAGCCAGTCTTGTTGATAATTTGGCTGAGGGGTTCAGGCCTATGCAGAACAGTAGCGGGGACAGAGCATCTCCTTGGTATATGCCACATTTGATGGACACTTGTGCAAGTGGTTTGCAGTTGGCTTCAAGGGTGGTTTTATATATATATATATATATATATATATATATATATATATATATATATATATATATATATATATATATATATATATATATATATATATATAATATATATATATATATTGATTGGAAAATAAAATATTTTTATGAATTATTTAATAACAGATTTTCCTCCCTCTCTCCTCAGACTGAGTTACTGTAACCTCTCAGAGAGAAGCTGTGAAGCTCTGTCCTCAGTTCTCAGCTCCCAGTCCTCCAGTCTCAGAGAACTGGACCTGAGTAACAACAACCTGCAGGATTCAGGAGTGAAGCTTCTCTCTGCTGGACTGAAGAGTCCAAACTGCAACCTGGAAACTCTCAGGTAACTCTGGACTCCTGACAAATTGATGCATCTAAGGTACAAAAAGAAGCATAATTACAGATCCCAGCAGTTGCTTGGCTTTCTGATTTATTCCATATGATACAAATCCATCCATCCATCCATCCATCCATCCATCCATCCATCCATCCATCCATCCATCATCCATCCATCCATCCATCATCCATCCATCCATCCATCCATCCTCATCCATCCATCCATCCATCCATCCATCCATCCATCCATCCATCCATCCATCCCATCCATCCATCCATCCATCCATCCATCCATCCATCCATCCATCCATCCATCCATCCATCCATCCATCCATCCATCCATCCATCCATCAGTTCAGACATTGGTCTCTACCTCAATGTTCTCATTTTCTCATCATCTGATGAATTGTGTGTCTGCAGCTTATCAGGCTGTTTGGTCTCAGAGGAAGGCTGTGCTTCTCTGGCCTCAGCTCTGACCTCCAACCCCTCCCATCTGAAAGAGTTGGACCTGAGCTACAATCATCCAGGAGACTCAGGAGTGAAGCTGCTGTCGGCTGGACTGAAGGATCCACACTGGAGACTGGAAGCTCTCAGGTATGGAGGAACCTGCTGCAGGAGCAGAGAAGGTCTGATAGAGGAGGAAGAGGGAGAAATGTCTTTAGTCAGTCTGATGGTTTTCCCAAGGTTTGTTCCTGGAAGCTGCTGCTGGTTCCTCCAATCCAGGCTCCGCCCCCTTTAGAGGAAATCTGTCCATATATGGCGCTAAGAGTCACCTTGATGCTGCAAAGCTTTGTTCAGGGATGAGATGTCAGGATGTTGGTGTCAGTCTGTTCCAGGCTTTAGTTGTTCTCCTCATGAGGAGCTGAAGTCTCTGACAGGAACGTGGAGCTGAACAGGAGAAGAACTTGAAGCTTCATCTTGGCCTCTGATTGCAACAGCAGGACAATCCAACATTTTAGTCTGACTTCATCTGGAAATATTTCTTTGACCCTCAATCAGTGTGAAGGCAGGCCAGCTCCTCATCAGAGCTGAGATCTTCTCTGTCCTCCATGCTGGAAATGTAGAAGTCCAGCAGCTCCTGATCAGTGGACTTCTACATTGTTTGTTTCTCTGATTTCTCAGAGCTGCTTGGAAATCTGAGAGGAAAGATACAAACAAAGACTCTCTGGACTGTTGGATCTGGTTCTGGTTCCAGATGCTCCTTGGACACTTTCACAAGCCATTACTGCAGCTGCTGGATTCAGGATGCTGCTTCTTCTTCTTGGGCTCATTGTAAATGTGTGCAGCGCCACCTGGTGGTGCTGGTTGGTAGAGGAAGTGCTGAAAGGTTGGAGGTGTTTGTCAGAGGTGTGTGATGATGGAAGCCTCTCCCTGGTTTGTGAGTCTGAGCTCAGAGATCAAATCTTTGATTCTTGTTGAATCTTGTTGAATGTGATGCAGCTTCTCCTTTTTAATGTTTGTATTTCTGGATATTACAGTGAGGCCACAGCAGGTTTTCAGCAGCAGGGCTGTTTAGTGTTTCATTCCTTCATCTGTGTGTGGGAGTGTGGATGGATCAGGTATCCAGGTGTTGATCAGAGTTTAGATTGATTGTATTTTAATGCTGATTATTAAATCAGGTTGAGCTTCCAGAAATGTTTCCTTAGTTTCCTGATGTCCTTTTAGGCTTCAGTGAGTTTCTTCAGGTTGTTACTGAGGGATTTTCTTTCTCCTCTCTGTTGGAGCTTTTCCTGTGTTTGGAGAAATGAGTTGTGCTGCAGCAGCACCAACTGTCCTTCCTACATCCACTGCAGTTTGCAATCCAGATGTTGGACTGTTCCTGTCTCAGTGGAGGACAATGTGTGTCTGAGACATGTAATGTCCATGTTTGCTGCTGAAAGAGACTGATGGTCTGACCCCTCCTCCTTTCAGGGTGGAGCCTGCTGGAGGCCCATTCTTGACTCCAGGTCTGAGGAAATGTAAGTGTGTTTTTCATCTGATTCATGACAACAAAGCAGCTCACATTCAACCATCTTCAAACTGTCACATCACTCATTCAGGAGTCAAAGTGTCAATAAATGATCAATAACTGCAGCTGGATTGTGTTTGTTCTCTCCATCAGATTCCTGTCAACTCACCATCGACACAAACACAGTGAGCAGATTCCTCAAACTGTCTGAAGACAACAGGAAGGTGACATGTGTGGTGGAGGTTCAGTCATATCCTGATCATCCAGACAGATTTGATTACTGGTCTCAGCTGCTGTGTAGAACTGGTCTGACTGGTCGCTGTTACTGGGAGGTCGAGTGGAGAGGAGAAGTTAATATATCAGTGAGTTACAGAAGAATCAGGAGGAAAAGAAACAATATAGACTGTTGGTTTGGATGTAATGATCATTCCTGGAGTCTGAGTTGCTCTGATTGTCACGGTTACTCTGTCTGGCACAATAACAGAGAAACTCGTCTCTCCTCCTCCTCTGTCTCTAACAGAGTAGCAGTGTATGTGGACTGTCCTGCTGGCATTCTGTCCTTCTACAGAGTCTCCTCTGACTCACTGATCCTCCTCCACACCTTCAACACCACATTCACTGAACCTCTGATTCCTGGATTTGGGTTCTGGTTCAGTTCTGGTTCCTCTTCAGTGTTTCTGAGCTGATTTGATTTTAAAGAGTCAAATTTTTTTTCCTCCTGTCAGAGAAACTCTCTCACTGTTGAACAGATAGTTCAGTCTCTACAATCTATTTCTTGGTGAAACTTTTTCTTCTTCCAGTCCTTTAAAGATGGAAACTGGGATTCTTCCAGGATCCTCATGTTTTTCTGTTTGTTTCCAGTCAAAGCTTCACACTGAATATCAAGATGTTGTTTCTCTTATTTTTTCCCTTTCATTCATCAGATTTCATTGAAATATTGATCAAAAAACCTAATTCTCTGTCCTGTTTGACTGCTGTTCTCATTGTGAAATGAGGAATGATGGTAAAGGGACAGGGACATTGTTTGACAAGGACAACATGGTAAACAATGGTACAAGTGGTACCATTGTTTATGGTACTATTGGGGAACTGTTGGGACTGGACTGCTCCACTGTGTTGTGTCCCAAAATAGCATCCACAGACAAGTTATTAATTGGACACATGTTTTATTTTTTCTCCAAGTTTGATACAAGTACAAGTTAATAGTAACATAGTATAAAGTAAATGATGAGGAAGCTGACTCTTCAACATTTTCCTTGGATATCCCTTTTCTCACCATCAGCATAATAAGCAGAAGATTCCTCAGTTCAACTCACCCAAATTGTGCTCAGTTAAATTTGTTGAATTGAGTTAGTAATCTCTGCAGGATCATGTGAAGCATCTGTTGGAAGAAATAGAGAAATTATTTGTAAAAATACAAGGGATACCTCAATAAAGGAGAAGATTAATTCAACGTCTCTGACACACCTGAGTTGCCAACCGTTTTATTTTCCCATTTGTCAGGATTTCTAACCACACAGTATTTTTGCCATGAAATCTAATTTGTGCAAATAAATTCTAATTTTTCAAATTCTGCAACTATTTTACTACTTTTTACATAACTAGACAGACAGACAAGGACATAATCAACTAAATCAGTGAACAAACTGCTGAGAAGCTGAGAAAGACTATTGGCTTTGTGAAGAAATCAGAAAACATGTTTCTGTTGCTGGTTTCAGAGTTAGCTGAAATTGTCCACACACAATTAGCTACTGGAAATATCTTTGTGATTTTGCTCCTTAATTTGTTCAAACAGTTTGTCCAATCATATCCCTTCTGAACTTTAATCAGTGCTTTCAATGCTTTTGATGCATTCTTGTCATTCTGTGATATAAAATCAACAAGCTGCAGAAACACATTATTCTGTGGCCTTTAGGAATCTACAATTGTGCATTATATGCATTCAGAAGCTCAGTTCTGTTTTTACTGAGTCAAGTTATGAAAAGTGAAGAACCACATCTTTCTCTCTGAACATTTTCCTGCATGTTCTGTGTTTGTGGCTGAACTAAAAACAACCCCAACCTGTCGCATAAGCAAGTGCAAATTATTGATGGGCATATTTGCATTTGCATGAATTTAGTGCCATCTGCTTTCTGCTCTGATTTGGATTATTTTGCTTTACCAAATCACAGATTAGTCGTCATTGACGGCTCAAACATGAATGAAGACAATCTTCCTTAATCTGAACAAACATTTTATGTCGACCACTAAACCTTTTAAACGGCCATGGCAACATCACTGACCAGTTAGATTCATATTGTCTCCCACCTGCCAAGAACTTTTGAGTATCTTTTGACAAAAAGTGAAAAACAGGTTAGCAATGTTTTAAAGACAGACTTTTATCAACTTTGTGACTTCATGTGCTGCTATTTTCAGTTTGACTTTGTAAATTAAAACCAGACCCAATCAGTTTATATTTCAAAGACTCCATGCCTGATGGTCGGTACATGTCATGCTCTTTCTTGCATGTTATTCTTGCCTGATTTCTTAGTCTTGTGCTGAGTGTGGAATACATGTGGATATGAACAAGAATATGCCAGAGCTAAAGTCCACTCTATAAAACTTTGGCAGAGTGAGCCATCCCACAAAGGGCTTTTATTTCTGCTTCAGTGGTTTGAAGGATTTTGTCAAAGAGGGATATTTGAAAGACAAAAAGACATGGCCAGAAATAAAACACCTGCTGCTACGTTTGAAAAAGGTGCAAGGACTGAGATCTGTGGACAACTTCAGGAGCCTTTGAAACAAGAAACTACCTTTCACAAGCACCAAGTAAATAAATTTGTTCATTGGTTCTATCAGCTCACAATTGCCGTCCGAAAAGGCAGTTATCAAAGAGAACATCACACATGTCAAGTCTTTTGTGTTTTGAGACCCACGAGAAAGCAGAAAAAAAAGACCAGATCAATGTGCGGAATCATTCACTTTGACTGCCTGTCCTATTGGACCTTGGTGTTTGTTCAGCTAAATTGTCCAGGTGGAGGGCGATGGTGAACCTGACAGCCTTGTGCCACCATGTTTTAAACATACTGAAGTAGTGTGCCTTACAAAAGATTACTGATCCTTGAACTGTTTTTAATAATTTGTCTCATTACAGCAGCAAATGGATGTTACATTATCTACAACACAAGACAATGTACAATTTCAAAGTGGAAGAAGATAGTTCTATGGTTTTTGAAGTTTTCTTAAGAAAAAGATCCATTTAAATATGCTGTAGTTTGATTCCTCAAAATAAAATGATTTTTAGATGTCAGAAAGCAGTCGACTGATGTACTCAGATGTTTGTTAGAGAACAAACCTCAGACAACATCCCTAGACACGCAGTCAAAACTACTCATTACTTAAACCATGTCCTGATTAGAATGAGGCAGACAAAATCCAAACCTCAATTCAACATCTCTTAAAAGATTGTAAATCGATCCTCACAGACAGTCTCCATTCACACTGGATGAGTTTGTTTTTTTTATTTTGTCAAGAAGAATGGCAACAATGTTGCCTATCAGATGTGCAAAGGTGGTAAAAACAAAACCTGAAAGACTTGCAGCTTTACCTGATGCAGGAGACACGTTGACTCGCACAAAAGCATCTTACTTTCTTTTGTAAAGTATTTAAAACCATCAATCGCTTTTATTGACTTCACAAAGGTTCTGGACCTTGTGGTGGTCTGTTCCTTAACATCTCAATGAAATACAATGAATCTTGTGCTGTATTTATTTGATTCAGTGTTGTATAGTAACAAAGTAAAAATACTTCACTACTTTACTTAAGTATATTTTGGAGTACATCATACTTTCCTCGAGTATGAAAATGTTTGATAACTTTCACTTTTTCTTGCTGTGCTCTATGTTTTCAGTGTGTTTTCTGGTTTGGTCACATGATCTGCAGACAGAAAGACTTTTAATAAAACCTTCAATGGCGGCTAAAGCAGCAGGTCAATAGTGGTGGAACCAAAACCAGCTCTGTCTCAACTGTTTGCTGAAAGAACATGGAAGATGGTGAGGAATGTTTTAATAGAGAGCCTCCATCCTCATGTCGTGGCCATTTATGTTACGTTTTGTGAATTATAATTTGTACCGATTTAGTTTCTTTTTTTCTGTAGTTAGAATACATTTAAGTTGATTTAGAATCAACATTTGTAATAATTTTTGTAGAATTTTTGGGGAAATAAGAAGTTCCCAACTGCATCACTTTTGTGACGCCAGTGAAAGTGGGTTTGGTGCTGGATCTTATCTTAGGCTATCTAATTGCAAACATGAAGTGTGTGTTTCCTTTGTCACTGGTAAAGCAAGGGTAGCACCATTAAAACAAGTGACTAAACCACGACTTGAACTTGCGGCCGCAGTTTTAGCTGTGCGTCTGGACAACATGCTGTCATTTCGACTTGGACTCAATCTGAGTGAATCAATCTTCTGGTCTGACAGCACAACCGTCCTGCAGTACATTGCAAGCACAACGACACGGTTCAAAACATATGTAGCTAATAGAGTGTCCATCATTGGTGATTTCACAAAGGTTACTCAGTGGAGAAACATCAGCTCAAAGTTAAATCCAGCTGATGCAGCCTCTCGAGGCAGGAAGGTTGGCTCTTTTTTAAAGTCTTCCACCTGGATCAATGGGCCAGAATGCCTCACAAAACCTGAGATCCAATGGCCAGCAGGGATTAAGGAATTACCTGTCCATTTAAAACCTGATCCAGAGGTTAAAGATGGGGTCCTGACATGTGCAGCTGTCCTGGAGGAAGTGTGTCCCATCTCTAAGCTGCTCATGTACTTTTCCGGTTGGACAAAGCTAAAAAGATGTGTAGCATGGATCCTGAAAATAAAAGAGAGGCTACGAACAAAGAAGTTGCCAACAGCACATTGTGGAAATCAAATGTGTGATAAACAGGACAATAAAACGGATGCTCAGCTCACAACTGATGATCTATCCAAGGCTGAGGAAGCCATAGTGAGCATTGTGCAGACAAAA